TTACAACAAGCATTGGGTGTCTCACTGCATTAAAAAGTTTTACCAAATAGTATTTAAACCACGGTTCCTTTTAATTTTCTCCTGTCAACACACCCATCTGCACACTCGGCGATTCCCAATCTCAAATAGGGAGCGACGCCGTTCAAATATTGGGGCATAAGCGCTACTTTCCAATTGTCCGCGCTCCGCCTCTTGTAAACAAACGCGTCGGTTTCAGGCTTCTGGCCTAATTGCAGCGGCTCTCCGGCCTCATCCATTCCTTCTCTGGGTGTTCCACCAGATTTGCAGTGATACCCTTGACGCGCCGGCCCATCTACATTCTACTTACACGACTGCGCTGCTGGGTTGCTTGCAGAAACGGCAGCAAATGTCGGATCATGAAGTTGTTGGTTGGCAGATTGTTCGCAAAACGCGTCTCAGTCTCGCACCGGAGCGGATTGCGCTTGTAGCAAGTGACGGGTATTCAAAAAGTAGCTCAACCATAGCAATAGAAGGCGGGTGCGACTCTAACGGCAAACAACGATATTGACAGATCGAGTAAAGATCGTGCTAAAACAGCAACGTATTTTGGAAACGAATACCATAGACATTATAAACCGGTTTAGGCATGCGCGGGTCCAAAGACTCCATGTCTCACTCATAATTTGCCAGCTCCCAGTGACTGGTCGTCTTGCTTCACCTTACACTGTTCTCACCCACTTTTACGGGGCTCTAGTTTCCTAGCCCAGGATTTCTTTTTAGGGTACCCGAATTTAAACCCCCCTGGACCTGTGGCATACGCATATGGGGAGGCATGGGGAATACATTATTTTTTGCATCCGACGAACAGCGGCCTTCCCAACACGGAACGAAGCTACTGCATCGTCTCACTGTTTTCATCAAAACCGACGGAGATAAAACAGATTCTATCTGCAGCAGAGACGAAACGCGTAACAATCAGTTTGTTATACAGACGTCTTAGGAGTCTCCCGAAAAAACTCAATCTGGTAGTACATAATGGAAATATCAAACTTAAATTTTTGGTAAGAAGGTTTGCAAATGTTATTAATACTCAATATAGCAAATGTTGAATATTTTGTGTATATCCATATGATTTCCCTTCAATTACTTGCTACACTCCTGTGTACATACCTGCTCCATAGTACACCCCCGTATATTCAAATTTGCTTTTGGACAACTCAATATGTGATGATGATTTATCTTCTAATGTTGGCACATGCACAAACGTGTTATGGATTGAGTCCCACCATATGAATATATGAACATGGCAGCCATTGAAGATTAAATTTCAGAAATTGAGTGTAGCAAATTAAGTGGTTCTGGTGTGGAATATTTAAAGAATAATAAATTATGTACAATAGTGATCATAGTTTACTACTTACAAAGTGATTGCATTTCTCGTGCAGTTTTGGAATCGTTTTATAACTGAATGAGTTCGTGTCGTGTTTTTGGTTGCAAAAATAATGTATTGCCATGCCTCCCATATCTACCGTCAGGGTTCAAATTGCCTAAAAAGAAATCGCTAAACGTAAGTGGTTGAGAAATGTAAGTGAACAACCACATACAAACTGCTGATTATGAACGATGAAACGATGCGTAACTTTACTAATGTCTTATGTATCCGCTTCCAAAGTACGTGCTTTTTAGCACCACTGTTTATGTTTTACGTTCTTGGAGCACGGATTTATATGTGCTACCTTTTGATACGCATACAAATGCTGATGTCACATAGAACGTTTGAAATTTCACAACCAAACCAGTGATATTCGAATTATAGTACGTTTATGATAAAACAACGATGACTTTAAATTAGTCATCTGACACCAGGGAGCGGAATTAGCGAAACATTTTTTTACAGGGAAAAATTGAAAGGTTATCAATTAACGCGTCTCTCTTGAATTGAATCGCAGTGTGTTATTGTTATGGAAAATTAAAAGAACTTTAAATACTATTGGTAAAAACTTTTTAATAGTAAACACCAATTTGCTTGTGTAAAAAATAGTATTATTTTCGGAAATAACATCTACAAATCCGTCCTTCCGTGACTTTTTCGTCGAGACTTCCTTATTTTTTTCCCTTCATCCGCCTCCTTCGAACGGCTACCCGCATCATCTGCTAGCTTTGCTGCCTCACAAGCCGCTCAGCCAGAATCGCCCCACCCCACCCATCCGGTCCGAACCCCCTACCCGCCACCCCTCCCCACCGCAACCTGCCCCGCCGAAACCCTCCCTGTCGCATCCTCCTCTCCTCTCCCTGCCCTATCGTGCCCCTCACCTCACCGCCTGCCTCTTCGCACCGCCTGCCCGCCCCGCCCTGTCCCGCTCCGTCCTGCCGCCTCCGCCTCCCCGCCTCACCTCACCTCCCGCTCGCCTCGCCCCGCCTCGCCCGCCTCGCCTGCACCGCCCCATCGCTCTCTCGCCCGCACACTGACACGTCTACGCTCGGCGACGGGTGCGGGCGGGGGCGGGGCGGGCGGGAGGGCGGCGGGTCGGCGGCGTGCGCCGAAGCATAAAATTGGGCTTCGCCAACTTGTCGATCAGCGCGCGGGGAAGTCGAGGGCGGTGCGCGCCAGCGGGACACCGCTTTGCACTCCGGCCATTAGCCGCCGGCTAATCACAGCGCCGGCGATGGCCGAGGGGCCGGCTGCGGCGGCGGCGGTGCAGGGCGGGGGGCGGGTGGGGGTTGTCGCCCAGCCCCCGCCCCCGCCCCCGCCCCGAGGCGCCATTTCATTTGCATCGCGCATATAATCCCTCAATCCGCTCGCGAAGTGCGATTCGCCCTCCTTTTCCTCGGCGCGAACTTCCTTCCGAGCCGATCTCCACATAAAAGTGCTATTCCATCACCGAAATTGAATTTAAAAAACCCACAGAAAGAGACTTGAATCGTCAAATTCTCATTCCTTTTATGCGGGAGCTGATTGAAAAAAGAGCAGCTTTCAAACGCTAAGAAGGAAACTGGGTGTGGTCGGGGCGCGTTCGTGGCGAACGAGGGGGGCGGCGGCTAAGGCAGAGAGCACCAGCGTTGGCAGAGGGAGGTGGTGCAGCTAAGGCCGGGTGAAGCTGTACCACTCTGAAGCAAAAGGGAGTGAAAGAGATGGTGCGAATGGAGTCGTGTCGCAACGAAGGAGATGACTTTGTTAACGGAAAGAAACTGTACAAAACCGTTGGCGAGGGGTGAGAAGCGAGTGGAAATTCGAGAAGAACGCAGAGGAAGGTAAATCAAAAATAAACAAAAACGTGTGGAAACTTGAATTCAACGATGCCCCATTAAGGTGTGGGTTTGTCAATAGAATGAAAGTTTATCTGTTTATAAATTCAACAGATTAAGCGGTAGATGGTAAAAAGACTATAATTTCAGACTGAAGAGGTTTGAGGCAAATTTGGCAACAAAGGAGGATGCCAGTGAGAGTTGTGGTGATGGTACTGTAGATTACTTTACATGCGGATTCAGCAAAAATTCTGTACAGTAAAAAGCTATGTTTTTAGTCCTACTTGACAAAACTTGATGCCATCAAACGAATATATCCAAATTGAACTAATTATAAATAATAAAAACTAATGAGGTGAGTGGTATTACAGTATAGATATTACAGTTGCCTAAGTGTTTGTCTGAGGGTAAGGCCAAATGAATTTCCATTGCCTAGATATGGCTCTCCAAAAGTACATTGAAGCATTTGATATGGCTCACCACGGGTATAAATATCAAATATTTGACCACTCTTGAAGAAATAGGATTCTCTGAAAAAAACGTTTTTAGAGAAACAATGTGGTCACACCA